GTTGAGAAGCGAGAGTTTGCACGGGAGTTTTCTCAACTCCCATGCCCCAGTCAAACGAGAACAAGAGTTGCACGAGAGTTGATGAGAGTTGAGAAGCGAGAGTTTACATGAGAGTTTTCTCAACGCTCGTGCAACTCTTGTAATGAGAGTTGAGAAGCGAGAGTTTGCACGGGAGTTTTCTCAACTCTCATGGCCCAGTCAAACGAGAACAAGAGTTGCACGAGAGTTGATGCATGAGAGTTGAGAAGCGAGAGTTTGCACGGGAGTTTTCTCAACTCCCATGCCCCAGTCAAACGAGAACAAGAGTTGCACGAGAGTTGATGAGAGTTGAGAAGCGAGAGTTTACATGAGAGTTTTCTCAACGCTCGTGCAACTCTTGTAATGAGAGTTGAGAAGCGAGAGTTTGCACGGGAGTTTTCTCAACTCTCATGGCCCAGTCAAACGAGAACAAGAGTTGCACGAGAGTTGATGCATGAGAGTTGAGAAGCGAGAGTTTGCACGGGAGTTTTCTCAACTCCCATGCCCCAGTCAAACGAGAACAAGAGTTGCACGAGAGTTGATGAGAGTTGAGAAGCGAGAGTTTACATGAGAGTTTTCTCAACGCTCGTGCAACTCTTGTAATGAGAGTTGAGAAGCGAGAGTTTGCACGGGAGTTTTCTCAACTCTCATGGCCCAGTCAAACGAGAACAAGAGTTGCACGAGAGTTGATGCATGAGAGTTGAGAAGCGAGAGTTTGCACGGGAGTTTTCTCAACTCCCATGCCCCAGTCAAACGAGAACAAGAGTTGCACGAGAGTTGATGAGAGTTGAGAAGCGAGAGTTTACATGAGAGTTTTCTCAACTCCCATGCCCCAGTCAAACCAGAACAAGAGTTACATGAGAGTTGATGAAATTGAGAAGTGAGAGTTTATATGAGAGTTTTCTCAACTCCCATGCCCCGGTCAAACGCGAACAAGAGTTGCATAAGAGTTGATGAAATTGAGAAGTGAGAGTTTATATGAGAGTTTTCTCAACTCCCGTGCCCAGTCAAACGCGAACAAGAGTCGCATGAGAGTTGATGAAATTGAGAAGTGAAACGAGAACAAGAGTTGCATGAGAGTTGGTGAGAGTTGACTGGATACAGTATTATCGTGCGCGTAGCCAAACTCGCATATAAAACTCCCATCAGAATTTGAACCAGCTCAAAGTTGACGAGAGTTGAAGAGAATGCACGAGAGTCGATGAGAGTTGGTGCTCAAACACGGGCGAGAGTCACAACTCTCATCAACTCTTGTTTGACCGACGCTTAAGAAACCTAGTGAATCTTTTAACGGATGCTAGCCGTAGCGTTATAGTGTAAACGCAGTCATATGACTCAGTCCCAAGGCAAGGGTGTCTGCTTAGGGAGGTTTGACTGTAGTTTTCTATATAATTACAGTATATACGTTGTAGGGAGCGCAAGAAATGTTCCAAGAATTACCTCATATGTACGTGCCGCCTCATGAGTTGAAACAGGCTATCGAAAAAGGAGGTACGCATCTATATTCGTAGAATACTGAGTAAATGTTCAAATCTGAATCGCAGTTCTTTTCCAGGATACACTGTATATGCCTCCTGGCGAAATGGAGTTTGTTTTCTGAACGAGAAAACAGGAAGTTAGACTGATGTGAAATCAACATGGCCCTGACTATACATGCAGTACACATTTACAGTGTTCGTACGCCCCCTGGAAATTCTGGAAAACCCTAGATTTTTATTTTAATCCTGAAAAACCCTTGCAAACCTTGAATTTCAAATTTATCCCTGGAAAACTGAGAAACTGAGCTGGGCATAGAATCATACCTAAACTAGAAGCACTCGAAATCTGTCAACTTCTTAGGGAAATTGTTTCGTATATTTGAACTGCCCCTGGAAAAAGGATGAAAAAAGTCCTGGAAATCCTGGATTTTTTAAATTATGAAAGTGTACGAATCCTGCATTTATATAACGCACACTTTATTACAACTGTATATACTGTACAATTTGTTTTGTCGAACGAGATGCCCCAAATTTAAAATATTTTTTTCTTATTTTAGATCATCGTAAGTTGATCGGTACAGTAATAAGACGAGAAGATTATTTAGTGCCCAAAGCGGGCGGCAAATTCGATGCTGAAGAGTATGATGCTCATCCAGAGAAATATCGCTCTACTTTTGCCGAAAAGGTTTGCTTTAAATGTTGTTTTTTCTAGTATAGAGAACCGCTTAAGGTTTCTCGACGTGACTACAGTATGTAGTATAGAAGCGAAAGGCCTACGAACCTATTACTATTACTTAATAATATACATTAACAAAATTATGCAGTCACATGCGTGCGTTTAGGTCACATGCGAAATAGATAATTTTATTAGAAACGATTTTAATATTAAATCTACTAAAATGCCAGTCATTTCTGTCGTGTTGGTCATGTGTGCCGCCCGCCCATCAACATACTATATTTGAATTCTAATTGTTGTTCACAGTTCGCTTATCATCATGTACAGTATGTTATTGCTCAAACTGATTTTGTCTTTATTATTTTTTGCTTAAATTATCATGAAAAATAGCATATCCCCCTGCACCCCCTTTGGCCAGGGCTAGGGGATGGTGTCCCCCCCCCCCTCCACACACACCCAGTAAATCCATACCTATCTTTATCAGTGAATGTTCCTATCTGTAGATTGCTCCGTATATGTCGGTGATGGTAAATGGTGTATACTGGCAGCCTGGCTTTCCTCGTCTTTTGACCAATGAAGATATCCAACAGTTAACAAAACAGAAGGCTGCGCACAGCGTTAGTGATGGCTGTCCTCCACTACCTCACCGTTTCTTGGCCGTCTGCGATATATCTGCTGATATAAATGTAAGATTTATTGGGGTTGAACATGATTATTGCAATGCAGTCCAACAATTCTCAGTTGGCACGAAGAGAAAAGGGTTGGGTAATCGAAATTTTGAGTGAGTAAAATGTTGGGTAAATGAAAAACAAAACAACTCAAGGGTCGGGTAATAGGAATTTATTGTCGTTTCTAGAGCATGACTCATACAAATATTGAAGACTAAAAAGCTATGACAACAGTCATATGCCAATACAATATGCAAGTCAATCAGAGTCACTATCTTGATCATTTTCCGATTGGTGACAAATATTTGGGGTCTCCAAAGAAAGTACATGTGCAGACAACATCAACATGAAACTTTGGAGTGCAGAAAATTGCACAAGCACTTATCGAATTCATGTCATAGAAGTGGTAAAGGACATGTGTGACAACATTTTTAACGTTTTTGGCCGGGGGGGGGTGTATTTATTTTTTAAGGTTGGGTAAAAATGTTTTGACTTTTTGATGGTTCACATTTGTTGTTGCAAATGGATCAGCAAAATATTTACCAAGATCAACATTTTTCCATACATAATGACCGCTTCTTTATTTCTCGAAATTACAAACGAAAATATTTCCTCCTCACCGCAGAAATGTCAAGGAAAAGGTTTCTTGCCTTTCTAACATAAATTTTACACAATAGTTACAAATGTTTGGATAAAATGATAAAACCTACAAAATGGTTCATGGGAATGCCATTCCAGACAGAAGGTTTAAATTTCAGATTCTTCACAAAGAGACTACTTCGGATTCCCCCCTCTCAGGCGAGTGGTACCACAAGGCATAGCCGCGTACTTCATTCAAAATTCCTTCTACTCCAATATCTACTGGGTGTATCCTGCATTACTAGGATGCCTGGACCTATTGTATGGCAATTTTTTAAGGTCCTGACTCCTGTTTATGGCAGGTCAGTTGCCAGGGTCCCGCTCGTAATATTAACTCTATGGAGTGTTTATATGATCCCCGTTCCCCGCTAGGCAGAATTAACTTCCTTCTGCATGAGCATGCGTAAATGCCTTTTCTGTAAAAAAAATACGACGTCAACATTAAACTGGCTTCATCCTGGGAATGTTTTTGCCCATCGTGTGGTCGTTCAATCAGTTGGCGCTGCCACTTGTAATGTTTCCATTTTTTATCAACCAGGGTTCGTTGGAGTTCATGACAGAATGCACAACAATTGAATATCCATTTGAACTGTTTGATCCTCAGAAAAGCAAATCTGAGATTGGGTAAGTGTGTACAGTACTGTATATGAAGTCATTTCCACTTGTAATATGTATTTTTTTATTGAAAATTTGCATTATCTATATTCTGTATTCAATCGTCAAAGCAAGCTCCATCTTTCTCCTCTGAGATCGTGGGTTCGATTCTCGCGGCTACGGATTCATGTGAAAAGAGTGAGTCAACGCTCTGCCGAAAGTCGTGGATTTTCTCCGCGTGTTCCGGTTTCCTCCCACAGGGAAAGTCATACACAAAACACAAATATTTATAAGTAACAAAAAATCATAAGGGACAGGTCATTATTTATGGCAGGGGGTGGCACTGAAGAGAAATGTTTTCCGTGTCAAAAATTTTGCTGACCCAACCATTAAAAAGACAAAAATTTGATTACCCAACCTCAAATATCAATTAAAAAATAACTACCCATTCAGTTGTCATACATGTCCTCTATCACTTCAGTGACATGAGTTTGATAACGGCTTGTGAAATGTTCTGCAGTCTAAAGTTTCATGTTGTCTGCACATGTACTTTCTTTGGAACACAATTTGTTTTGTCAAACTATGATCAAGATAG